AGATGTAATCTCCATGTTGACCCCAGCCAGTTCTAGATATATTAGAACAACTCGCCGAGTATTCGAGGCCAGTAGACTCACGTATCCCCAGTTGAGAGGACAAGGGGCTGACTGCCATCTTCAGGCCATTCCTCCAGGTTGCTGAAGCCCGTAGTGTTCCACATCACCTCCATCATGAGCTGTGGGATTTTTATGGGATGGCTAGCGGGGCACGTGCCATTGACTATCGAGAACGCTATTGCACCGCCAAGAGGATGGGCAACGTGGTCGCGGTGGTTTGGGCTATCAAGGTTCTTTCCATCCCAACATCTGCGAATACGTTAGACATTGTTCAATTCAACGCGCTTTTGTGCACGAGGAGCATACTGTGGGAAGATGATGTTGGATCGTATCCCCCCAGGACAAGGCTGCCTGGGCAAGTAGTCCGTGTCGTAAACAGGGTCCATGCAAGGAGAATACATGCTCCCCCCAAAGTTGGGTTCCGTAAAGCAGCGGTAGCATTGCTGCATGTTCTTGCCCAGATTCTCAGACGTGCGCCTCATGGAGTCGCCGGTAAGCATCCTGAAACCCTGTTTGATTGTCAACACTAAACATGTGCGAGGACCTTGTGACCAGGCTCACCGGTCTGAATGCGACTGTCGCGTTTGGGGCTGATGAAGTGTAGTAAAGAGTAATCCCTGCATTATCGCCATCATTGAACTGGTTCGCCATCTGCGGGACACGCTTGTAACTCCCGTTGCGTGCGCGAAAATAGAGGTTTGCCGTCCAGTAGTTGGAGAAGTCTTGATCAAAATGACATGTCGTGCAGGTAGCGAGTTTCGCAATATCGGTCGATGGCATTGCAGCATTGAATGCGTTCTTGTCCAGCGGTTAGCAGTGTTCGGAAGGTGCCAGTCTCTAGCTGTGCGTACACCTCCAACTATCTGATGCATGTGTGCGGACGGGTTCTCTCCTGGGTCGACAAGGCTACCAAGGTTAGTGGGCTGTTTCAGTGAAGGTAACCACAGGACTGGACGTACGGATCGAGACGTTCGATGACAACCTAACAAGTTAGGTCTAAAATCGACCAAGAATGCACGAATAAGTACCTGGGAACAGCCAAAGCGCAACATGGCGCCTGGGCCTCTCCTTCCACCGCCTCGGAGCATCGGTTCGTCGAGCTCAGTCCCGTTCTGCGAAAACACATGACCGGCCAGCGATAATAGCACGAGAGCGAAACGAAGCATAGCGATGGCCATGGGAGACTGTGTCAGTTGACAAAGGTTCGAGCTGGAGGGCGCAAGTGCGAGCCGCGTGGGGTCATACCTAAGAGACGAAGTCCTCGGAAGTCGGGTAGTCTCAACGTGCGCTCAGTAGATCAAGTGCAGTCGCGGAGCCCATATACACAAATTCATAATATCGCAGATAGGCAGTTGTGGCCTATGAGAGTGGGCCTTACTTTATTGATCTTCGGTCATTTTGCCGGGTTGATGTCTTGGACCTGGTTGTCGGATCCATAGGTCCGCGAAGGATCTTGCCGGCATGTACTCACACATGAACTCGTGTCGAGGCTGCAAAGACGGATGCGTGAGGGTTGGTCTCCTTGAATGTTGATACATGGAGCGTAAGTGGCATATGCAACCTCGATGCAGTTTGCGAATCCCGGCACCCATGTGGTGAGCTGCTTGAAGCCGTGTTGGATACCTGTCGCCACTAAGAATGTCACTTTGGCATTGCGAAATTTGATGGAGGCTGCATTCATGAATGTCTGGCGCCACAGAATCAAGCCGTGTGCTGAGCAAGCGCATGCCGCTGGGTGCGTCCTTGATTCCACTCTTCGCGACATGGCGAAGTCTTGTACTCTTCAAATTAACGACCCAGCATTCATCATCAATTCTTCTTTACGCCTTCGCGATTCAAGCTTGATTTCTCGCGCGGCCATGCGCTCCCCACGAGCTTTCCTGCGCTCCTTACTCTTAAAATCACGCTCAGCTCGGAGTTGCTCCTCTTGCTGGGCCTTTTGTTTCTTCGAATTTATCCCATCTGTGATCTGCTTGTGTTCTCTAGAGGTAAGCCTCCAGGGTGTAGAGAGAACCTGTTTCTTCCACGCCGCGGTCTCGGCCCATGCCTCGGCTTCCTCGTTGGTGGTGCGCACGATCCAGACCCTCTTCAGTTCGAGCTGCTTCTGGCTCCGAAACTCGGAGATGGTACACTTCGCCTTGATGACGGTGCCAATGTCGAGTGGCTGGTGGTTGACAGTAACCTCGAAGACTCCAAGTCGGCTCACAACATGCACATTATCCACGACCGTGTTTGACGGAAACTCGACAGGGTTATATGTGTCTGGTGTGAGGCGGACGATCTTGACTTCGACAGTGGCGCCGCTTCCGTCGTCGATGGTGAGGATGGTGTACTTTGTGTTGATGTCGTCGATGGCAACAACGGCGCCAACGACGCACACGAATCGAACCGGGTGGTTTAGGAAGAAGTAGATCTTTTGGGCTGGTGTACCGTCAGCGCGATGCAACTCGCAGGTCGGCGTTGGAACGTACTGGCGAAGTCGGGCTCGGAGCGCAGTGCGTGAACATCGGCGACGAAGAGCTTCACCCAGGCATTGTACGTGGGCGAGGCCTCGAAGCAGTAGGCGGGGAAGAGGCGATAGCTCGGCACGGGCGTAGTCGTTGACATGTCATGGCGGGTGATGCGAGGGAATGGATACTGGGCTGGTAGGGCGGAGACGCGTGTGTCAGGCGACATGGATGGCCGCGGTCGCACGTGATGCACTCCCGTTGTGCCTTAGCACGCCATGCCCGTTTTGGTTGGTGCATTGAGGACATGGATCGCGCGCGCAAATCGACGCGGCTCCTCCTGCTCGTCCTGCATACAAATACGCACATTCCAGGGTTGCGACGGCCGAACATGTGAGTTCAAGGGAACAAGGCCTAAAAGGGCCCCTAGCAAGACATGTAAACGCGTCATACATCCAACTTTGGCCAGCGACACCTTATATTGTTTGATCGCGGCCTCGAAACGTTCCCCTGCTGTTCAAGCACCAGAGAACGAAGCAGACAATGACGCTCCTCCAGACGCTCCTGCACGCGACGTCTTTTCGCTCGCCGCTCTTGCGGACCCTCGTGCCGTCTGTTGCGCTTGCTTATGGCATCCAGACGGCCGTCGCTGTGCCATCGATTGCGGCGCGCAGCGAGCGCTTCTACGACTTGTCTGGCAGTTTGACGTACCTGTCGTGCACGGCAATGAGTCTGGCGCTGCCATTTCTGCGTGCGAAAGCCAGCGGAGCTGCTGCTGGAGGCCTGGCGCAATATTTGAGTGCTCCCGCACCTGGACAGGGAGCTTGGTGGTGGAGGCAAGCCGTGCTGAGCGCCGCTGTCGGAATCTGGGCAACGAGATGTGCGCCTCTACTTCCCTGTCTTGATCCATTGCGTGCCCTACTGACCCACACATGTGACAGTGGGCACATATCTCTTCAAACGCATCTCAGATGACGGCAACGACTCCCGCTTCGACGCCATCCGCTCGTCGCCTTCGAAATTCTACCTCGCCTTCTTCGCGCAGGCAACTTGGGTCTCGCTATGCCTGTTCCCCGTCATCCTCACAAACTCGCTCCCTCGCTCAGCCTTCGCCCTCGCAAGACTCCAAAACGTCTCCAAGGCGATTCCATCTCCCATCTCGGCAAAGCCGTATTGGACAGATGTCTTGGGAATTGCAATGTTCGTCTTTGGCCTGAGCTTCGAGATCATTGCAGATAGACAGAAGAGCCAGTGGAGCACCGAGAAGAAGGAGAAGAAACACAGCGAGGAATTCTTGACACGCGGGCTGTGGTCAAAATCACGGCATCCGAACTACTTTGGCGAGATGACGCTGTGGACGGGGGTGGCTGTTGCTGCGGGCGGGCTGCTCATCCGCAATTCTTCGCAAGTCGGACTCGGGTTGAGTGGCTTGGGCGGCAAGTTGCTGGTCGCCAGTATGTGTGCTGCAAGCCCTGCTTTCGTTGCCTTCCTGCTGCTCAAGGTATCGGGCATACCCCTCAGCGAGAACAAGTATGACAAGAGGTATGGTGACAGAAAGGACTACAAGCAGTGGAAGGACAATACGCCCATGTTGGTGCCAAAGCTTTGGTGATCTAGAGTGGGCAGCGTGTCAAGCGTTTATTCAATACGCGATGCCACTGTATTAATCAGGATCGCACTGTTGGTTATGCAGCGAAGAGTTGTAAGAACTGTATTCAATGCTTGAAGGTTGGTTGCCGCTTTGACTCGCGAAGAACCTTCTGTGTTGCATATACATAGTATCACCCAATGAGCCAAGAGAATTTTTAAGGTCTGTGAATTTGATGCATCAATTGTCAGCCTAGTTTCGGTGTGCGGGTACTTGTTGTAGCAGTGCGCAGTGCCTCTCGTGCACACAGGAAGTCGGATATAGGAAAGTGGTCCGTGCCCACTCCCAGCGCCAACTCTACCTCGCGACGAGACTTTAAAATTAAATCTTAATTTCTCTATAGCTCTAAAGAAAATTTTGAAACCAAAATCTAAGACATAGGACTTAGTTTCCATGTCCTGGGCACATCGCTTATGTCCGACTTTCCTGTGTACGAGAGTGCTTCGATTTTCTTACTTGCAATCTACCTTGGTCGCGGCAATCGACGCATGCGATTAAATTGCTATTTTCGCATGCTGACCAGCTTCATATAGATGTAAAGGTGGCCCGAATAAAATATGATTTATTGTTGAAATACTCTTACGCTCCTCCGCATGCCTATGGTTATGAATCCCTGAAAATTGCAAAGTCTGGTACGCATGCCACGACATATCAATTCAGCGTTGTATTACTACACAGAAACGTACTTTTACGCCTATAGAACCTGATTCTCATGCTAAAAAGCCCATACCTTGTTTTGGGTGGGGCGAAATTCGAGGTTAGCGAAACTCAACTTCCGCCTCCTTGACACCAAACCCACATGCAAGGGGTCCAAAGCAACGCAAAAAAAAGAATACACACGGCCTTTCCGTTACCGGGAGTCGAACCCGGCTCTCGTCGGAAGCCATCATTCGCGGTTAATGCTCATGAAAGCGACGGATGCTAGCCGATACACCATAACGGACGTTGTTAATAGTTCATTTGAGTTGTAAATAAATATACTCTTGTTTTTATTGGGACATTTTCTTCCGAAACTAACGTTTGCCTGGCGGGCCGAAGTTCTCAGGACTGGCAGGAAAACTGGGATGAGTCGCCACTCGCGGGGTTGTTGAGAGAACTATTCTTAGATTTGGTGCCCCACGCCGATCGTTCCAGACGTCCGTACTGTCGGCCACATGCCCAGAGACTTAACCTTCATGATTAGAGATAGCGTTGCATTTGATATAGCCGATACCATGAATTCTAATTATTCATTACTCATGTTTTCTCGCATACACATAGCTGGTCTGTTCCGAACCTCGCTATTAATCGCTGGTATCGGTATAGCTCGAATCGGAAAGCCGTCCCGTGGTAAGTCTTAGTCAGCGTTCCTGTGGAGACTTTTGCCCTTGATCCATGGCATCAGAGTTTTCAACATTCTTCTGCGTCCTCTTACATGTAATCTCCTTCAAATTTTCTGTTGCTTCACATACTCGTGCATCGAACTCCTCTTAAAGGCGTCTCATTAAAGCTTCAGTGATGCTGTCTAGGCATACAAATGCCCAACAACTCAAAGTTAAAGATTAAGCCTACGAATCGTAGTTGGCGGCGAGCCCAGCTTTTTGCTTTAATGCGAACGGTGAAATTTGATATAGCATGGAATATTACGTGATACTCAATGGAGAGATGGAGAATAACCTCGTCACTGACGAGGAGTCGCCAAACAAGTACATTAATGCTTATCCTTCAACATCTAATTCCGGTCACAACTTCATCTACTACATTTCAATCCCGTCCATTCTAGCCGCACAGCCCACCAATTATGTATCCACGCACATATACCATCAAACCTACCGGCGGTTTCCTTTGCGGCGTAATATCATGCTTGATCAACGCCTCGGACGCGCACCCAATGCTCCAATAACACGACGACAAGTTGACAATTCATCATTAGCTAGAATGAAAGGTCATCGCGCCCAGGGACCTCACCTCCAGTCATCTTTAATGCTTGCGATCCCTGGTTTCAAATGTACGAGTTCAAGGACATCCGTCAGAATTGACATTGGTCAACATTAAATCTAGATGCTCGTGCACTTACCATAGCCGGGCATCTAAGAATTGTCTATCGAGATGACATATAGCGCTAATATCGGTATGTATGAATCGCCATGGGTATTGTGAATAATCAATCATAAGTACGTAAGTATATCATCATGCTAGGATAGCAGTGCCTCTACACGATGCGCCAGTTCGCCAAATATGCTCCTTTTCGTCGAGTGGCGAGATTTTATCCTCGAGTAGTCCGTCATAACCGATGTGCAAGTGCAAATATCCTTCCCATTGCGAGATGAAACACGAGGATGAATGCGCCGACACCGTAACCAAAAGCACGTAGATCGGTAGCTGCCTCATTGACAATCAATATGGTCCCACAGCTGCCTTCGGTTGCTCTGGGCAGCCCTGGCCCATTCATTGTCAGAGTGCTACAGAACCCGCCCTGGTAAACGACCTCAGTCGTCGGCCCTCCGAGGACTTGGACGGTTGTGGGGTGGGGTTGTACGTATACGACGGAGGTTTGCTGCTGCGCATACACGGTGACCGTTGTAACGGATGCCACGTTGACGCTGCCCCCGCAACTGCTCCCGTCTGGACAGCACCCAATGATGCCGCCCGAGTTTGGTGGAGAGGCGCATGTGTAGGAACTCGGACAACACCTGTGCGATCAGCCAAAGTTTTCCAGGGCATGATTCCGTCTGATTTACCAGGCCGGCTGTCCCATGGAACCGCAGCTCAGAGATGCATAGTCGGGGCACATGTTGGTTGCCTGGGTCGTAACGCCCTGGCCGTCGGAGTTGACAATGTAGATTGCGCCGGAAAAGGGCGCATTGTTGGTGTAGGATTGGGGCACAGCTCCTGCAGCTGCATTTGCGTCGGGTCCTGGCTCGGGTAGGGGGTGTGGTATAGGAACAGGGTCTGCGGCGCAAAGGGCAAAGAACAAAAGAATGGCGGGCGACAGCGGACATGGCATCTTCGGGTCAATTGGAAGGACGGAGGACACAAGGATATAAAGACAAGGGGAAAAGACAAAAGTGAGGGAGGCTGTTCGAAGGTCAGTATCAAGCTACCGTCGAGGCAAGCTCTTTCAGCAGAAGAGAGAGACGAGAAGGGCGCAAACTGTCTGCTGCGGCGGATGGCGGCCCATGTTATGCTCATGGCGGGCAGCTCGAGGGAGCTCCTGCTAGGGCAAGCTGCAGCTTGGTGGTCAGCCTCTTCGGTCATGGCAGCTTGATGGTGTGGACAAGTGGGGTGAGCTCGGAGCCTTGGCCGCAGCAAACCGGGGGGCAGTCTGCTTGACCGCTGGCCAGGTGCCGCAGCGCCGCGGCGTTGAGCTGGATGGCAGACGCCCGCCGACCAGGAGAGGCCTGTTGGGGGCGTCAGACAGGTGAGGCACGCCCAAAGGGCCTTGATTTCCTCCCTCGACGCAACGCCTCGGCCTTGGACGGCGGCTCGGTCGGATGCGGCAGCGTCGTGGATCTGTCTTGCATGTCCTGCGATCATCGTGCAGCCTGCAGCCCGTCTAGCCCAATTCGGGACTAGACAACTCAAGGGGAGGTCGGATGAGGCCAATAGTCAGAGGCTCCTCCTTTTGGTCAAGCTTTGTATATACATTGAACTGAACAAGCCGCTCCACGCCACTCGAAGAAATCAGTAATCCAAGCAACCAGGACAAGCTCATGTAGACTACAACTTCCCCAACGCAACCCATACTTGTCCCCAACTCCAAACGCCTCGCAAAGGGGTCGATGGACGCTCAATCCGCAAGACATCGGCAAGCGAAGCCCTGCTTATGCAAACAAACCTTGCCGAAGAGTGCATACCAATCCCGGCTATCGTCTGAAAGCTGCACTAATCTCACTCACCCCCCAATCCATCTCCACCTCTCCCGAATACACGTCCTGCGCAATCCTCACAATCCGCTCACAGACATCGCCATAATTGCCCTCGCACTCCTTGAGCACCTTGAATACCAAATCGCGACTGATCCCTGGGTCATCGGCATCGCCAAAATGCTTGTCGACTCTCTTCTTTAGCGCCTCAATGCCCTTCCGGACTTCCCGCGCATCGTATGAGCCGAGTAATTTCTTGAAGAGGGAGCGCGAATGCGACGAACGAGAGGCGATGGATTGGGGAGATTGTCCGGGTTGGGCAAGAAGGGTTTCGGTCGACTCAATGAATTCCTACGAGTATATGATCAGTCATGGGGCGTGGGAAGCGGGGAGAGGAGGGAATTACGACAAGTTTGCCCAGAGGGCGTCGGATCACGGCGTCGACGTAGAGGTCCATGTGCTCTCTCATCTCTTCGCCTGCCTTGGATTTCCACTCCAGGAGCACCGGATCCGACCGCGCATCAACCTCTTCTAGGTAGTGGTTCATGTTCTCGATGAGAAGGATGTGGTAGTTGAGGGCTTCCTTGTCTTCTGGATCGCCCTGTCCTTGCGTCGCCATGACCGCGGGAGACTCCTTGGCAATGACCTTCAAACTCTCGAACATGGCCTTATTAATTCTCTGGTATGCATCGTCGACCATGCGCCTGATCTCAAGCTGGCCTTCTTCATCCAGCAGTGGAAGCATGTTCTCTATCGCCACCGAGAAATGGGGGAAGGTCTTCATGAAAGCAATGACGCCTTTTCGTTTCTTAATCTTTACCTTTGTGTCTTCGATTGCGCGAATCTGCTCGTCTACGAATCGAGTGAAGAGACCAGTGAGACGTTCATGCACCTTCTGGAGTGCTCGAGTGAGGAAGTCTTGGTTTGAATCCTCAATCTCGAGGAGCTTCCGGTCAACGGCGTACAGGATGCCAACTCCTTGGCTATCAAATCGTCATTAAACCTCAGTTCTGAGTGTAGAACGACTGAACTTACAGTGGATCTGCTTTGACTGCCCACTCGACGAGGTTCTGGACCTCTGTCGGCCAAAACGAGAAAATGTCTTCCATGACCTCGGCAACACGCTTCGCCATGGCTCTGTCTGCCTCGAAAGGCTTGCGCGCATATAGGTTTGTCGTCCTCCGATCGCCTGGCGGGACGGCAATGACTGCGTCGGGAAAGTCAATGGCGTCGGAAGACGTCGCGTGAAAGAAATCAGTCACGAAGTTTTGCTCCGTCTGTAGGACAGGCCATATGTCGTCGAGTACTCGAGAGAAGACGTCGAAAGCATAAAGCTTCCCAGCCTGAGATTTATCGGCTTTTCCCTCTTTGTCTCCTGAAGCTGCCCGGAGGCCTCGAGCCAGGGTTTGGCTTCGTTTGACGGTAAGTTTCCTGGCGGCGCCCGTGATACTTTCGGCCTCTTTCTCTTGCGCAGTAAATAAGAGGTCCTGCTCATCGCCCGTCGGTTTACGTGCAAGTCGCTTCCACGATAGAATGTTGTCTCGTATTTCGTCCTGGTACACCTGACTAGCCTGGGTTTGGTACATTCGCAGCAAGGCGTCCCAGGATGCACGGTCAACTTCTTTGGCGAAAAGGACGAGTGGGCTCAGCATCCAGAGCATGTCTCGGCCAGCATCATGAGCCTCTACGTTGGCCGTCGTCGATGGCTTTGCCGACCTGTCCATCTTTGTGAGGGCATCCTTGGTCTGGATAAAAGCGGCGCCAAAGGTGATTGTCATGTGCTGTTTGAGACGGTCAAGAAACATTGAAGCCTCGTTAAGATATCGATCCTTCTTCTCCTGTAGAGCTCGCATTGTCGCCAGCTCGCTGTTACCGAAGCCAGGGTTACTAGACTTGGCAATGTCTGTGGCTCCACTTCTCCCAGCTTCGATAAGGGCTGGGTCGATGGTGTTGAGCGCTTTGTATAGAAGGACCAACGATGCCTCTATCGCCTTCAGTCCGGCGATTTTTCCAATGGGTGCCCTTCTCAGGGGTTCGAGTTGATCGACGGTGATGGAGATCGTGTCGACCAATTGCTGGAGCTCGGTTTGCAGCAACT